CAAGTTATGGCCTATTAATTTCTATAACTAAAAATTGGCCTATATACTTTCTTAAACTTTTCATATTGGCTTATTTTCTACAATTTTTCTTTTTATTTTCGGGCAAACAATACATACAAGAGGGTCTCGGAACGCACAACATAAATTTATTTGTTTTTTTTTCCTTAAAAAAGAAGAATAAAAATCTGAACATGAAGAGAAAAGAAATTGTCAAGCATACCTACATATATCTCACTTAGGCCTAGACACTCCATGGAGAGCAAAGTGGTTGCCAAAGTGAATCTCCTGAAACAATCCTGGATGTTACTTTTCAATCCACTCAATTTTGTGGTCCTTGATAGCATTCTTCCTAGAACTATTGGCACATATACAAAGACCTAGTCAGTAAATGAGGATTAGAAAGTCAAATATGAAATGAAGTTTGTGATAGTTGTACATATGTTGCAACAGAAAGGTTACAAAATATGAAAATAAATATATATTATATTGTAATTATATATATTATATTATAGTATAATATAATATAGTCGTAATTTTTAACTATCAATAACAATTCAACCTCATAATTTATCAAATGTTATTACACTGATTTTGAAACTAGCACAGCTACTATAATTATAGTTTACTAAACACTCAGCTGATTTTTGTAATAAAAGTTTTTTCTTTCAACACAGCTAACAACAGTTTTTCAAAAATCTACAGCAATACCTAACTAACTCTTTGAGAGGCTTTATAAAAGCCTTCAACCACAATAACAAAAGAAAAGGAGACCTCGAGGCCCCCTACGATTATTCATTCAACACGTACATAGCATATACTAAAAAATAATAGATTCTCATAGAAAGAGCTGAGAGATAAAAATTAAGAGAAATTATTTTGGAGAATTTGGGGTCAGTTTTTAGGATTATTGTATTTAGGATTTTTATTTTCAATTTTAGAGTTTATAAGGAGAAAATATTTTGAAGATTAAGAACATGAGATTGAATATTAAAAAGTTAGGCTTGGAGACTTGTGACACACCTCTATGTGAGTTTTTCTTTCTAATTTTTTCTATCCCTATATTTCTATGAATTGAGATGTTGGAACCCTTGATTTATTTTATTTTTATTTTTATGTTTTAATTTTCTTTTGCTAAGGCTATGAGATTACCAATTCTATTTTAATTTAATTTAATTTATTTTTACTTTCAATGAATAAATTCACGTTTTTTATTCATGATTGTTGTTTCTTTCTCTGCGCTTAATATTTTCAATTATCTGGCCAATATTTGAATTATTTTGGAGACTTAGATTGAAACCTGAGAATGAGATATTTAGGAATAGTTTCTTGTGAGAGAAACTGTAAGGTGCTTGCAACATCGAGAGATAGTAATACAACTTGCGAGAACAATTAAGAGAACCAGAGAGTGTAATGAATTTTTAAGGTGGTAGAATTTACATCGAGAGATAGTGGGGTTTACATGCTAGGAATGTGTTTGATAGCATCCCCATAAGGATTATTAAATAATTTAAGGTTACTCATTCTAACACGTGAATAGTGAGCAATGTTAGTAAGAATAATGAATTAAATTAGATTAGATTTGGTGAAATCAATTTCTCTAATCTTTTATTCAGTAGAGTTTTCATTTATATTTTGTTTTAGTACTTTTTTCTATTTTATTTTAGGTTGTTCAAATAATTTTAGAGTTAAGTAATTTCGGTAATCAATTAAAATTAAAACAATTCTCGTGAGATCGATATTTTATTCACTACTTTATTACTTATATGTGATATTGTAGACTTGTAATTTTCACATCAGAGCTCTAAACTTTTATTGTTTCGTAATGAATACAAGAGTGCCTACCGTAATGAATACAAGAGTGCCTACGCTTATCTAAGAATGCAAAATAATGCGTAAGGCCTTAATGAGGAGGATTAACCTTTTTATGCATGCCTTTCTTCGTAATACAAAATTCGAATTATAGGATTAGGTAATCCTTGTCCCCTGAGGATAATCTTATCCTTCGTTTGTGATATCTTCTTTATAATCTCGTCAATTTGTGTTCGAATTCGAATTGTCCATACTAGTTGCCTCTTTTGAAATTCACGGGATTCTTCATAGCTTCTAGACTTATCTTCAAGGTCGTGATTCCTTGCGTAGACACAACTTTAGCTTAGGCACATTGCTTCGGTATCCTAGCCGAATCACTAATATGGGTGAGGCTTTCTGATACCTTGACCATGATGCAACAATTGGCCCCCATCTTGGAAACTGATCTCAAGTCTTGCAGTAGAGGCATTTCAAGTTTTGTGCGTCGAAGCAATGACGCGGTTTGGTTCTCTGAAAAACTTCGTGATTAAGGACTTATTCAGTTACATTTTTGAGTTATAATGATTTGAGTGTAGATCTTGAATTGAATTTGAGTTATAACTTAAGTTGAAGTTGTAACTTGAGTTTGTGTTTGGATGTGCACATTTGAGTTATGGTTTGAATTGAGAATCTATTTGAGTTTGTGTTTGAGTGGGATGAAACTTGAATTTCTATTTATTTAGTATTTTAATAAAAACTCAATAGTGATAGAAAATTTTAATAGGGTATATGAGTGAGATCTTATTCGTCTTTTCATTGTGAATGCATAAAAAAAATTATCTCAATCGGAATTAAAACGAAAAAGTTGACGTTTTTAATAATAGAAAAAATTTTGTTCATTAACTTGAATTTAAGTTTAAAAGCTTGAGTTTGAGTTTAGAAATTTAAATTAAAAGGGAAAATTAAACTTAGATTTTAATCCTAATATAAGTTAAAACTCAAATTTTACAAAACATAAACTTAAATAAAATTATGGCTTGTTTAAACGTTTTTTGAGTTTAGACGTTTAGTTTATGGATTAGAATTATTTTTTATTTATGTATATTTTTATAAGATATTGTAATAAATCATGAACTATAAATGTCGAAATGACGATGCCTCGTCAAGAAGGGTGCCTCGGAAACTTCAATAACTGCTTCAATCATCAAGCGTCCTATCACTTCTGCTAAAGAGACTTTTCATATCAGCTGTTAAAATTGTGCTCCTCAGTTTCCTGGCCATTTTCCTAGCTTTTCGATCGTGTCCTTTCGTCTCTATCATTGGATTGACTGTTACTAAATCTGACAATGGAAGGAGAGGTTGTGTCACTCACTCAATCAATCTCTGCCAAGGCCAATTGCGACTTTGCATTTCGTTCATAGTTTTATAGACCATAGAGCTCAAGAGCAAATCTCTAAAAATGAAGAAATGACTGTGATTGGTGCAGTACATCAATAATTATACATGAAATGCATTAAATTTCATACATGTAAAAAAACTAACGACAAATGACAAAAGAAAAAACAAAGTACTAATATGTTAGTGGCAACTTGTATTAGCTTCTTGTGATTAAACGAAAATTTTGAAAATGGAGAAAAAACTTACTTTTTGAATAAAAATTATTAAGGCCCTCTTTATTTTATCGATTCGATTTTAAAATTTAAATTTTATTAGAATAAAAAACTCTTAAAAACAGTCTCAAATAACTTTTTTACTACAATAAAAAGCTCTCATATAAAGTTACATCTCAACTCGAATTAATAACTCGAATCAGCGAAAATACTTCTATATAAAGTTACATCTCAACTCGAATTAATAACTCGAATCAGCGAAAATACTTCTATATAAAGTTACATCTCAACTCGAATAAGCGAAAATACTTCTTGAATCCATACAGGAAAACCCAAGAAATATATGGTTTACGACAATGGAATTAAGTCCATTTTGTAATCTGGCCTTTTGATTTTGTAAGTAAACAGGCTCATAACATCTTATTTTTAGTAAGGATTTTGTAGTTTTTAACCACGAGTCCACTACAAATGTTGTCAATAAAAATTTTGTTGTGATGCACCAAGACACCATACTACATTTTGGCTTAACTCACTAAATTTTTGTCATAATTTGATTATTTTTTAAGCTTTTGAAATGTAGAAGATTTGGCTATTTAAATATGATAGAACAAATGAATCATTTTAGAGTTGTTTGGTATATATACTCAAAATTCACACTATGAATTTATTACAATATTTTTCTCTTATAAAAAATTTAAATTAAACAATTTTTCTTCAGTAGTTCTCTTATAAAATATTTGAATCAAAACTCAAATCAGGGTCTAAATATACTTTTCAAACGAGAGCTTTACCAAAACACGGAAGACGTCTTTGCCATTCAATTGGGCCACTTAATCAAGTTTTAAGTCCAAATCAATTATTATCTTATTTAGTAAATTATATTATCGTCAAATACATGATTCATTATAATCAATTATTGTTACCGCATCATTTTGAGTAACCAATAGAACAAAATTCTTAAATGGAGTGGGAGAGTAGGTAAAGCAAAGGCTGGAATGACGTGGTATCAATAGTGGTTTCTCACATGAGTCACCTCCTAAATTTTAGTGAGTCTTGATTAATTGGTTCTGCCTAAAAGACAATTTAAACCCTAATGAGCAAGAGGATGTTTAATTCTTTAAGCGTGTTTTATTATTCTTTAAAAGGAGGGTAATCTTACTAGTAAAAAAATAGAAAAAAAGAGAATGATAATCTTGATAAATATTTTTTAAAAATATATGAATTAATATCTTTATTATTTATTATTTATTTATAATTTTTTTAATTCAATAATTACATTAATAAAAAGTAATTATTAAAAATAAAAACTAAAAATCCAAAAGCATGTGTAATTCACCATTTTTTCAAAAAAGGAAAGAAAGAGGGTAATCTAGGAAATTGGAAAGGACAACGGCCCGTCACATCAGAAGTCCGTTGGGCCTAAAATGGGGATTCGAAACCGACAAAGACGCACAGAGGAACGCGTGTCTCGTCGGCACTTTCATCGTGGACTGGCTACGTGTCATCATGAAACCCGTTGTGCAACGTGGCGAATCCAGTTCATTCATATAAGCGCCCCTCTCTTTTTTCTTGCTGATCATTTTTAGCAATTCCAAACACAAAAGTAAGAACCTTCATTCAAACAAAGACTCAAAAATTATCTGTAATAATAAAGTATTATCATGGCTCGGTCTCTAGAACCCCTGGTGGTCGGAAAAGTGATCGGAGATGTGGTCGACATGTTTAGCCCAGCTGTTGAGCTCACCGTCCGATATGGGTCTAAACAGGTCGGTAATGGTTGTGAGATCAAGCCCTCCGCTGCCGCCGATAGGCCCAAGGCCCAAATTCTTGGCCCCCCTAACCACGCCAATCTCTACACTCTAGTATGTTAGCTCCTTTATTTATATTTATATCTATATCTATATGTTTTATATATATATATATATGTCATATGCGTGCAATATCAAATTTTGGTTTTTATTGCTTCATTTGAAAAGTTAACGAAGTACCCTTTTGTTAAAAACTAAGGTGTACACTATTGAATTGTTGAACTCTTTTATTAGTGTTCTTTTATTGCACTCTTGATGTTATTATTTGGTATATGCGTACACATGTCACGTTTTGTTTGTGAATATTCATAATTGTATGCATGTATATATATATATATATGTATATATATATATATATATTCATGTAGGTGATGGTTGATCCCGATGCTCCGAGTCCTAGTGAGCCAACACTAAGAGAGTGGCTTCATTGGTATAACTTCATTTACCCAAAATGTCTTCTACAAAAAAACAAAAACAAAAACAAAAACAAAAAATCATGGAAACAATATTGGAAATACTTACCATCACTTAATTTTTTTTATTTTCAGGATAGTTGTTGATATTCCAGAAGGATTAGACGCCACCAAAGGTACAACCTTTTGATTTAGTGTTAATCATGACCGATTAAGAATATATTACATGATTACAAGGTCCACACGTGGAGTGATTTAATTTGATTTTTACATGTAGGAAAAGAAGTGGTGCCATACATGGGACCCAAACCACCAACTGGTATCCACCGATACATGTTTGCTTTGTTTAGGCAGAGAAGTGGAACAATATTGGCGGGAAATGTCCCATCACCGGAGGCTCGTGGCAACTTTAGAACTCGCCAATTTGCTGCCCAATACGGCCTTGGCCTTCCTGTTGCGGCTGTATATTTTAATTCACAGAAGGAACCTGGAACTAGAAAGCGTTGAATATTAATTGATCATGTACTAGCCAGTCTATTACCAAAATAGGAAAAGTACTAGGTTCTTCTGTTGTTGTTTTTTTCCCTATAGACAGACAGTGCGAAGAGATAGTGGAACTTATAATTATGGGGTTGATCACATTTGTTTGTTGTTAATTAGTGATAATATTGGTGTTGGTAGTATATTTTGAGTTTGTTAATATTAAGGTGGTGTTTGGTATGCGGTAATGGACAGGAATCATATTACTGGAAAAGTGATAGAAGGAAATATGATTCTAAGAAATGTGTATTACCACGTTTGGTTATGCATGTGAATCTTTTCTTATATTCTCAGGAAAATCATTTTATTGTATTTGGTTGATACAAAGTAATTTAATGTATTTTTTCTTAATAATAACTAATTTAAAATATTTTAAGTACTACAAAATGATAAAATGAATTTCATGGGATTGATATTCCTGGGAATATAAAAATCACAACTCTTGCACCAACTTAAATATAATAATATGTGAAGATTTTCATTTCCATTTAAAGATTACTAATTAGTGTGTTAATTAGAGTTGGGTGGACAATTTTCTCGAATCTTTGTGGTGACAAATCTGACTAGGCACCATTAATGAATAATCATCGACAACTTTGCATTTGCTTTTTTGGGTGAAAGTAAGAATGTGATGAAGTTCCACTATCTGTCTCCCTACATGACACGGCAAATAGTTTGCTTTCTATTTTTTTTTTTCAATTTGATTTTATGTTTCTTTGACAAACCAATTTTCAATACATGCACTAATGAGTCATATATAGCCTAGGAGAAAACAAAAAAAAAAAAAAAGATTCTTATGTTTCATTATCACAGTTTAATTCTAGCTTTCATGTTGTTTTCTGAACTTTTAATACGACTATTTTAACGGTGAATTGAATTTGTGACCAAGACGGAATCACACGTTATCTTATCACACTTTGACTCTTGCATATGAATAATAAATTAAAGTGTAGATAGTTAAGAAAAACATAAAAATTTAGAGTCTTCTATTATGGTGCTACGAGTTTTATTATAAAACGAAAAAAGATTTGAGTGCTTGAGTTCAAAATAATGACTTCCATGAATAGGGTTTCTAGGTGACCACGTAGGTCTACATTTACACTTCTATGAGATAAATACAAGTATATGAATAATACATAAATATTGTCGAATAACTTTTTTGGATTTATTCTTTATCAAACAAATTTCCGAGGTTATTCTTCTTATCTTGTATTCGAATTCGAATAAGAGTATCCTTTTGATAATATTTTTGTGATTTCAAGGATGTAAATAATCATCTTTTTGTGTTCAGCTTTCTTATTTCGAGCTACCCTCCAATATAATCTTCATCGAGGTGGAACGATAGAGAAGGATTTTAATCGCCTTCTCATTATCTTCAACTCTCCCCTGTCAATTAAGGAGAGAAAATATGATAGAAAAGAAATATAAAAGTGATGAAAAATAGTAGTGATGGAAAATAATAATGATGAAAAGGAAATTGTTTTCTTTATGTTTTTTGGTACATAGAGAAGGAAAGAAAATGATTTTACCTTAATTTATTTGGTATTGGTATTAGAAGTTGAAGTGGAAGGAAAAAAGCTTATTCATAAATTATTTTTTTACCCAATACTAGTATTTTGTAAACAGTTATTTTCATATTGTTTGTAAGTAAAAAGATTACAATCTAGAATAGCCAAATAAAAAAAAAGTTGTATTGAAGGTTAAAGAGGAACAATATTTTTTTAAGTGAAATAATAATTAGTACATTGAAGAAAAAATATAAAACAATCTTCTAAAAGGCAATATATATATATATATATATATATATATTATAAGAAAGTGAAGGGGCAAAATTGTATTATATGATAAAGTAGCTAACAAAGCATTTTCCTCTCTATAATCCAGCCACATTTGAAAAGACAAAATGAGTGCATGAATATCTTTTAGAGTACATGATTCTAGAATTTTACTTCTTATTCTTAATTAGTATCTTTTTTAGTTAAAAAACTAGAATATTAATTAAAAATAAAGAGTAAAAATCCCGACTCATTATACTCTAAAATAAGTTGTAACAATTTTCTTCCTACCAAATTTTAAAAAGAATGGAGAATTTATTCATGAGAATGTATGAGTTTGGATATTTATCTCTTATTTTTAATAAATATCTTTTTATTAGTATAATTATTTAATTAAAAAAATTAATATTTATAAATATAATTATTTATAAATAGTTTATGAATGAAGAGAGAAAATTTTGACCCACGAAGCTTCTCAAGATTACCCTACGTTTTACCAGTTCGGAAACCCATGCGCGTGAGGCCCACGACCACGAGAGCCACCGTCTAAGCGAGAGTGGGCCCAAGGAAGACCCAATCAACGAATTCCAACATAATGGAGCGGCCCATCGGCAAAAACCGGCTTCTTTCTCGCGCCGCTTTGAAGAGTGAAGATCGTCGTCTAAACCCTAACACCGCAAAACTCTAACCAGAACCAGAGCTCGAGGCACGATCTTCAATGGTGGCAAAATCTGATTTCTTCGTAAGAAAATGCTTGTTAGTACCATTCACCACCTGCGCTCGTTAGTCAAAATCAGTTCCCCCAAGATCCAAACGCCATGTCAAGGTCGGTCGACCTTTTTTTTGTTTGTTTTTTGAAGTCTCTTTCCATTTTAGATTTAGGAAGATAGTTTTACGGTTTATTTGGGCCATATTGAATCGGAATTTGAGATAAATTTGGAGATAATCTAAATTATATGTTCGCAAGTCACGATTTTTTCAATGTTTGGAGGTAAATTAATGCTTAAGATGAGTTTGTAGCGATAAATTGTTGATTTTACGAGTAATTGGAATCTCAAAAGTGTGATTTTCTCAATATTTGTGTTGTTCGGGAACTCCTTAACCTGCCATTGGGAATTGTATACCTTACACACCTATTGCTAGAATTTGAATTAAAAAAGTATCTGATCCAATTACTATCTTCCTTTCATTATGAAGAATTTTCTTATTGGGTGATCAAACAAAGATAATTCTTGCGCAAGGATTGGATCACGGAAAATATTTCAATTTATATTTTTGTAGTGATTTTTTTTTTAATGAGAAAAGGAATTTGTATCTAAATGGGTAGGAGTCTTTAAGGGATGCTTACAATGATTAAATCAGCTCACTGATTGTAAAGGGTATCATGTTCATTGGTTAGATTTTCAAATTGCAGATTTTTGACGTCTGGATATATTAGGAGATTTGCACATTCTGTTCTTAGAACCACAGGGCACAGCTGTACGGAAGCAGAGAAGTATGGAGCAGTTGCAGTAGGGCTACATCTGCCTCGGTACAGATTTTACGTGCATTATAGATTTTCGAGCGGAGCTCGTACCACACTCTCGTTGTATAGTACCGCAAAGTGTTTGGGAAGGACAAGTTTTTCCAGGAATTTCTCCTTGTTCTCAGCGAGCAGTTCGGTCACGCATCATGCCCAAATTGTTTGGAAAAGGCTTGCTCAAAAGTGTCATTCCAGGCCATGTACTTTTTCCCCCATAAATAGGATTGCTCAAGCAGTTAGCTTGGCTGCAATGCGCTCTCATTTCGTTGTTCCAGGTATTTTTGCCTTCACTTTTGGACAGGTAGCATGGGCACAGAGATCATTTACCGACATAGATCATTACCCATCAGAGAGTTTTTATACGCGTGCCCAAGATGGGCATGCTCTAATGGCATCATTAGTTTGGTCAATATTAGAAGGTCTAATATTAATCTTCAGAGCTATCTATTTAACAGTTTTGTTTGCACCTAGCATAATGATGGCACCGTTTGCAGATAGTTTTGGACCTCAGTTCAGGAAACTTTGGCTTCAGGTTGTTCTTCGTACCTTGGAAAAAGCAGGTCCAGCATTCATTAAATGGGGCCAATGGGCTGCTACGCGGCCAGATCTCTTCCCTAGAGATTTATGCGGCAAGCTTGCAGAGCTTCATACAAAAGCTCCTGAACACAGCTTTGCTTACACAAAGAAAACCATTGAAAGAGCATTTGGCCGCAAGATTTCTGAAATTTTTGAGAATTTTGAGGAGATACCGGTTGCATCTGGCAGTATTGCCCAGGTGCATAGAGCTTCTTTGAGATTTCGCTACCCTGGTCAACAGGTGAAGCCCATGGTAGTTGCTGTCAAGGTTAGACATCCTGGTGTTGGTGAATCAATAAGAAGAGATTTCATGATAATCAATTTTGTAGCTAAAGTTTCGAAGTTCATCCCCACACTAAACTGGTTAAGATTGGATGAAAGTGTACAGCAGTTTGGAGTTTTTATGATGTCCCAAGTTGACCTTGCAAGAGAAGCTGCCCACTTGAGCCGCTTTATTTATAATTTTCGGCGTTGGAAGGATGTTTCCTTCCCTAAGCCTGTGTATCCACTTGTGCATCCAGCTGTTTTGGTGGAAACTTTTGAACACGGTGAATGTGTCTCACACTATGTGGATGACCTTGAAGGCCATACTCGGATTAAATCAGCACTTGCTCACATTGGCACGCATGCACTCTTGAAGATGCTTCTGGTAACATATCTTGTACATGCTTCAGATGTTCTTTGTATCGTCTAAGACTTCTATAGTTGGTCTCTTGTAATGTTTATAGTTATACATGTGAAAGTTACCGGACAACAGTTTTTTGTTGATCTTTGTCTATCTTCATGTGTTAAATAACTCCTAAAAGGGTAATGTTTTGCATTGTTGAATGCAGAAAGGTTCTCCTTTTTTATCATTAGAACACAACGGTAGAATTATCACATAATCATTAAAATATTGGTTAGTTGAATGCATTTAATGATTTCTTTGTTTTATTATATATTTGGATATTGGATTAAGATGTGTATTAGGCATATTTGGTTGTTGTTGCATAAGATAGAGTCTTATCTCTTCATTTGGTTACCATGCTCTCTGGTCTTATTTAGTCAGGGATTAATTGTCGAGCTTTATTACTTCTTATACTTTAGTCTTTTTAACATATGTGAATTTTCTTTCAGGTGGACAACTTTATACATGCAGACATGCATCCTGGAAATATCCTTGTCCGGGTAGCGCCAGGCAAGTCTACTCGGAAACGGCTTTTCAAATCAAAGCCTCATGTCATTTTCCTTGATGTAGGCATGACTGCTGAACTCTCTGGAAGTGACCGATTAAATTTGGTGGAATTTTTCAAGGCTGTTGCTCGTCGAGATGGCCGCACTGCTGCTGAGTGCACACTTAGGTTGTCTAAGCAACAGAACTGCCCTAATCCAAAGGCTTTCATTGAGGTAAAATATTCTGCTTGAGACTTCATTGGTTGGATTGATTGGGATTACGGTTTGAAAAACGCAGAATGGAAAAAACAATTGAAGTTTCAACCAATTGAAGTGCAGGTTTTGGATGGGTACAAATTCAATTGAAGTTGTCAACCCAAAAAACGCAATTGAAGTTTTCCAATAAAAATTGCGTTAAAATATTCAGCATGAAAAACGTAAGGTTAAAACGATATAATACACACACACATACGTGATATAATCAAGAGTTTTGAAAAACGTCCATAAAATTTTTTAATAAAACTTGCAATAGTTTTTAGAATTCACTACGCATTAAATACAATCAAACCATTTAACTGATCAGTTCAAATGCATCGACATATATTATTTGTTGTATGGTCCATCAACAAGCATAATCCATATCATCGTTTTTATTATTGTTTGTCTAAATCAAGTTTGTATCGACAATCTCATTTTTCTTAAACTAGTTTATACTTTCCTCCAGTCAATTTTGATCGTTTTCCATTGCTCTGATTCTATTTTCTAACTACGTTGTGTTTACAGGAAGTAGAGGCAGCATTCGACTTTTGGGGTACTCCAGAGGGGGATCTAGTACATCCTGCTGAGTGCATGCAGCAAGTGCTTGAGAAAGTTAGGCGTCATAGAGTCAACGTCGATGGTAACGTATGTACTGTCATGGTGACAACCTTGGTTCTTGAGGTGAGTGTTCCTTTTATTTTATTTTAGCCATGCATAATTAATTGTGATCCACCTGCCTTACCGTAATGTGAAAAATGAACCTAGTTGAGCATAGCTGGTTAATTTGCCATGCTCGTTTTACCATTAGATCACAGTTTCATAGTCGCAAATCATGTCCCTTACTGTTGTCGCAAAGATCAAAGAAACCAAAAATATGATCCGAATGATATGAGTGACGATCAAGTTGCTATTCTTCCATTTTTTTTTTTTTGGGTTAATTCTTCTGCAGTTTCATCTTTTTCATCCTAATAATGCAGCCTCATATCCGTACTGTTTATTCCCCTGCTTTAGTTTTCGGATTATATTGTGTCTAAAACATCTTATGATCTCATATATCTTTAATTTGTTGCAGGGTTGGCAACGTAAACTCGATCCTGGTTACGATGTGATGCACACACTGCAAACGCTGCTACTCAAAGCTGACTGGGCAAAGTCTCTTTCCTACACAATCGAGGGGTTGATGGCCCCATGAGATCTCGTCTGTTGATATTATTAAAACAATTTTGACACTTCTAGCTAAACGAAGAATATACAGGTCCTAAGGAATAACATTGACTGTCTTAGGCCTTCTTTTTCTTTTATTCTTTTTTTTTTTTTTTTGGGTGAGAATTTTCAGCTATATGTTATAGTTGAAGGGAAAATCCTTCTGTGTATTTACCTATTCATTTTCCAGGAAGCATTGTTGCGTCGTCGAGCGTCACAAATCTCAAGCAGAAACATGGAAATGAACAGAGAAATAAAAATGTTGATTCTATTCTTTCATTTTTTTTTTAACATTTTGTGTAAAGTTTCATATACGGATGTACTTTTCTGTTGCTGGTTTTAAGCTGTACTTTTCGTCTTTTGGAGCAAGTGCTTAGTATTCGGGGATTTTTCCGACGGGAAGTCTCATGTAAGCATGATGTTTAACGTCTCGAAAATTATTGGGGGAACGATAATTCGTACGTTATCATTGCAAACGTTAGCTCAAAGACACTCCGTTTCTTATTAAAAGTATTGACGACCAAAGCCTAGACGACGTTTTGCAATGCATGAATCAAGAGCTTTGCTACTTTCCACGTCGAAAGGAGTGTCCAAAATAGTATATCCGGCTTTTTAACCGGCACACTTTAGTGTTATGACTACCAAAACAACTTTGTTTGACGAACAGTCATTTTTCACATTTTGTCCGTCCGCCATTTACCAAAAGATTTCTACTTTTCATCTGTCTTTAAAAGAATACTGCCATGAACACTCGCTTGTTCTGACTTACACACAAATTTTATGCAACAAAGCGATTATATTACCAGTAGATCGTAATTAGTATGCAGAGGCGAGGTTTGAGGTGATTTAATAATTATGATCCATATCTATATGCCATATGCAAAGAATTTCTGAAGCCTGGAACAGGCACTACATGCAAACGACCAAAAATTTGCAAAATAGTGACACTAGTTTTTTTCTCCCTTTTTTTAATTGGTAATGAGATAAGAGTTTTTTTCCCCCTCTTTTTAATTGGTAATGAGATGCATCATGAGGTGATTGACGGCTGATTCCAACTTCGTTGGAGCATAACGCCAAGTCCAAGCTTTTTAAAACTATAATAGGGTAACGGTCACTAAAGTGATTAACTCGTTAGTTTTTATATGCAGGCTGTGCAGATTAATACACTGTTGTACGCCAAACATCCTTTTCTCATGCTTAAAACTAATTCACTAATTCAATGTCAATATTATCAAAAGAGAGAAAAAAAAAATCAATATCAATTATTAGAAGAAAAAAGACTTTCTGTACTACAAATTTTAGCTGTGCGTGGCTCTCTACTTCTGATGCGTCACAATCTCAAGAAATGTCAACATCCTTTTATGAGTGAACGGACAAAAATTGTTTTGGGCACCAAAAAAACCAATCTATACAGCATACACGAATCTGCAATGAGGCAGTACTATTTTCACATCTTTGTCCTCAAAAGTAACGTGCTAAATCTTGGTATGCCCAAGGAGAAATCTCATGTCAGCACACATATCTTGGAACCTAAACTCGGTTGCGAACTTATGTTGCACATGTAAGCTCGCGAATTTCTTTGATAGCAGTACTAATACTATGAAGAGCCATTTTCCTCACCTGTTTCCGCGACATTAAAATAAAGAAGTCTTGTTACTCGTCAATGTGATGCAAAAAAAAAAAGAGAAGAAAATAATAACAAACTAGAAATATTTCTAAAATGTCACCTCTAATTTGTCTACTTTTGCTTTATGGTCATCGGGGAGAAGACGGATTTCATCCGTCAACTGGACACACTCGTTAACGTTCTCAGGAGACATAAAGTCCAACACCACATGAACACAGGACTGCCGAGTGTCAAAATATTACGACAAAGTGTTAAAGAAAGTAGTTAACCCATGACAAAGAAAATTCAACTTTAAGAAGTAGGCGAAAAAAAAAAAGCAGATATCTCTTTTTTTTTTTAACAAAAAAAAACGTAGAAAATTTTTCTCATATACTCCGAATGTTGAAACAATGGGAAATCATAATTTACTACATGAAACAGGAGAGGACAGTTTTTTTATTATTAATTAATTAATTATTTATTTATTTATTTATTTTGATAAGAAAGACAACTGAGGTAATCACTATTAACTTATTGAGACAGAAAACTGAGGTAATCACTAAAAAAGGTCAAATAAAAAGTCACATTTCAAATGTTGTTCTAAGTGTTGCATATCTGACCTTAGGACTCCTAATCTGGTAGGGACATCCCGCAGGAATTATTACAGCTTCTCCAACACGCTGCTCAAAAGACCAAGGTTCAATCTCTGTACAAAAAAGAAATAGTAGGCTCAGTTTCTATTATTTCTGATTGCTGCAAATGATGAAAGCCACAGACTACTTACCAAACTCCTCCTTAAGCCTCATTTTGTGAGTGGTATCAAGAAAGAAACTCTGATCAAATATTGGATGAACAACCTACAGAAGACATGCAAGTAAGCACGTCAACACTGTTACTTCAAACCTGCTAACAGGGAAAAAGTTAGGTTCCGGACTTACATGCTTCTGAAAGTCACGTAAACAAGCAAACTCATGAGAATGCCTTCTGAGATATTCTTTAAGCTTAGGAACATCTTGTTTGCGAAAGACGTCCCAGTGGGCACGAGAAGACGTGGCTAAGGGCTTTTTACAATCACGATTGGAGCTTTCAATTTGAGCCCCAAAACTCTTCTTATCTTCTGGTGTTTCAAACTCATTTATGGTCCCACAATCGGTATCAAAATCAGAATCAGAAACGGATTCCACATCACGTGACATACTACTCTCCTTGAGATTTCTATCACATGATCCATTGGTGGCAGCAGAGGAACAAGATACTCTAGCTATTCTCTTGCGTAAATGCATTTCTTCTCCAATTATATCCCGCAGTTCCATGTCTTTAATTTTCTCACCATTCAATGATGATCTTGTGTTGTCTTTATTCACTAAGTTTTGATCAGAAGTAACCTTGGACGACAACCTTTTAGTTTGAGCCTTGTGCTTCTTGAGTAGCTTTCTTACTTTAGAAACTTGTTCTGCAGAGATAGGGACATCTGAAGTATGTGCCAAAATATTAACCTGGGTAAAACAAATAAAAAGAACAGCACACAAATCACTCGTATTCCCAAAGTTATGTACAATTCATGATCTTAAGACAATGAGTACAAACAAATGTTAAAGAGTGAATATGAATGTCATTGAAAGAGAATGCGATGCTTTGGAAGAAGTTTTCGATTTTAATTTCCCTGAATCCAACTCCAATAGCTGGGATTAAAGGCTTGGATTGAAATAGTACCAGAATTTGATCTCAGCAAGAGGACCACCCTAAACATGACTGGAATCATAGTATTTTGGACATTATTAGATGTTGAAAGGGGTAGAAAAAATCGATGAGTGCTTTCAACAATGTGAAAATTACACCTAAGCATCTAGAGGAAAAGGTATTTCCATCCCAATTTCAAGATAATAAACTATTTGACAGTACTACAAAAGAGGAATGAAATGAACATACCATGTCACATGAATCATAACAAAGTTTTATGACAGAATCAGCCTGCACAAGTTGCTCAGCATAGCCATACGAAATGTAAAGACATGGACCCAAGTCAGGCTTTGGGATTTCCTGTGGCAACCTTGCGGCAAGATTTAGAAGACCAGATGCTGGATTCATGTATTCTTGAAGTGGTAAGGTATGGATTATTTCAGCGAAATGAGCTGGAAACTGTTGTTGAAATAACTGGGAAGAAAGCCAGCCCTTTAATTTCAGAGACTCGCTCCATGTATTTTTATGGGTTTCTCCCTTGAAAGAACCCATAAAGTACTGCCTGATACCAATTTCTACCTGTCACGTGACAAGTGAAATAATGAAGATAAAAAAAACGTGCTAGATAGTGAACTAACTATATATGGTTGATGAATGAGGACTTCAGACAAAAAAACAAAACAAAACAAAAACGCGTGCTAAATAGTGATACAAACTATACATGATTGATAAATGAAGAGTTTAGCTGTAAGGACAACAATTATAAAGTAAGTGTTATTATGATAAACAAGAGTAAATACCATATTATCATCCCAAACTCTAAAACCTTTTAACAGGACTAACCTCGCACCAATCCAAGCGATTAGTAACTTCACATGTATCCCTGTTATCTTCATATCTGGAAATGCTTCTCTCAAGATAAGCGCAGAACATTAATACTGGATCCCAACTCAAATGAGAAGTAGCCTGAAGCACATTGCGTACTATAACAGGATGACCTTTCAGCCAGTGTTTCTGAAAGTGTTCAAAGTTATCACCATGAATTTCCAGAAGTGTGGGATAATACAAAAAGTTATCGCTCGAGCCTTCTCTTACAGCTGCTTCTTGCAACTGCTTTATTCCTTTAGCTTTCTGGTTTGTGCCAAGACATATAGAGCAGCATGACTGTATGTCTGAAGTATCCGGAAAGTCATAGCTACAGACTAACTCTTCGGCACTTACTTCCAGCTCTCTGGTAAAACTTAAAGGGAACAGACATCTCAGTTCAAGGAGGCTCTCGCCACAACCACCAAAGTCCCTGGGCGGACAAGATATTTGTGCATTATCATTTTGAGCTTTCCAGTGTGGCAGTGAAACAGACAAAGCCAGATCCTTACTGGAGTTTTTCCTGGTTCTTATCGGCTTCTTCTCTATCTGCCGTGTATTACGAGACATACGAGTTTTCTTTTTGTTAGAGTACATTGAGATAGGCATATCAGTACCTCCGTAAAAGCCCCCGTGATGCAAATCCCGACAACAACTTAAACAAAGATTATAGGAACAATTTGGGCAGGTTCTGTGGAGATCCAATATAGAAGCTTTGCATCTATTGCTGCTCCCAAAGTAAATCGGGAAAAAGAAAATCAGCATAGAAAATGTAAGTTAAATTGTAAAATCAGATTACCAGAAGCAGAGAACATACCAGCATTGTCTCTCGTTGCACCCTGTTTCAGCCTGCTTTATATGAAGAGTAGAGGACTTTTGTCCTGTTCCATAGAGGGATCCATGAATAACTCATATGATATTAAATTATTAATCTAAAATTTGATTCTCAGAAGACCAACTAGGGGATTCACAATACTACCTTTTGTTCTAGCCTCGATTTCTAGTTCATCATTCTGGTCTCGGTTAATTTGTTTCAACAAGGGAAGAAGCATGCAGATCAAATAATGGACAAATAATATTACTTCACCTTTATGTTTCTCCCCGAAAAAATCCTGAAATCAACGTATGCACACAAATTTAAGTATCACTACAAATTAAGAATGCCCTATTGCAAAAGTCCTCCAACATTAATGTCAGACCTTACTTTCAGTGTCCTTAGATGGATTTTCCAAGCAGTCCTTACAAGTACACGTTCTGCGACAAACTGGACAGGCCTCCTTCACTTCTTCTTGTGTATCAAAATACCTAATTTTTTAGATCATCATAATTATCAACATGTCATCTAAAATAAATGGTCCGAGGAGTAACAATGAGCTAATACACTTTTAACTAAAAGACTTTCACCTTATCATCATGCCAATGAAACATATACCCAGAGGCTGTCTATGCAGGGCCATAAAGGTCTACAAACAAAAATCCTACACAAAGATCCAGTTATTGAATCTCTTGGACTTTGCTCAGAATCTGGCACAACTGGGTCAATATACATCTTACATCTTGAACTCACGCACCTCTTTTTTTTTTATTTATTAATTGGGGACAAAAAAACGATACAAGAAGAATCAGATATGTAAAGACTGCTCTGGCCTACCAAACAATATCCAAAAGAAAATGGTTTTAAACATGATAGGGATACTCATTTATGGTTCGAATTCACAGATTTAAATACCACGTCAGACCACTCCATGCCAAAATGTACCATCAAACGAGTTACTTCAGAAAAAATATTACAAGAAAAATGACACGGAGCAGAAGAAATAGGAGAAAACAGAATAGTAATATCGAGAGTGCTTTATTTGTTCAATATAGAAATATCCTCCTAAAGCATGTTTTTACAAAGCGATATGCTATGCAAGAATAAGAAGATAAAGTAAAATAGTAAAATACAAATAAAATGTTTTTTTTTTTTTTTGAGGAAACAAAGACAATGTTTCCTTGACTTTCACATTTATGTCTAAAATACAGGTGTTTTAGATTTCCTAAAGATCAAATTATGACATCTGATTCTAGATTTCAAGTTCACATTTATGTCTAAAATACAGGTGTTTTAGATTTCCTAAAGATCAAATTATAACATCTGATTCTAGATTTCAAGTTCAATCTGAATGCAACTTATCAAACTTGACAGAGGAAATCAAAATATGATTAGGGTGTAGAAATAAAAGAACCTTTCTTTGATGCAATCCAAACAAAAGAAGTGTTTTTGGCAACTCAAACACTTAATTAGAATCCGCGAACCACTTCTGCAACACCAATGGCATTTTTTCCTCTTCTCCTTACTCAACTTTGCGCCACTTCGCGCACAGGGAAAAAGCTTCACGGTACAATTCATGAATCAAATGGAGAGAAATGAATTCAATGAACACTCAAACGTCAAAAAGAGAAAAAAAAAATGCATCACCAGAAAAGCTAATCACAAGTCACCTGCAATTTACCAATAGGAATTGTCTCACTGTTCTTCGACCGGAATCGCCGCTGCGGAACCGCCTGGAAATCGGCCCCAGTCTTGACACGGCAAGGCGAATCGGAACCTACATTGCCGGAGCCCCGCCGCGGCGAAGGCGACGGAGACGAAGAGATCGCCATTAGGCCATTGGGAAGGTCTCTGGTGAGTTCCTCCTCGCTTTCGTCTTCGACAACAACCTCCTCCTTGTCCTTTCTTCTCTTCTCCGTGCTCTTCTCCACCTCGCGCTTAAGCACCATCCTTATAAGCTCCAACTCCGCATTTCCCCTCTTCATCCTCTTCATCTTCCTCAACGTCTCGCCCGATCGCTTCCTCTTCATCAGCTTCGCCAGAATTTCCACTTTCTTTGCCCTAATTTTGACGCTGCGGCGATTCTGATCCCCTCCCTTCACCTCCTTCTTCTTCGCCGTCGTCTTCCTTTGAAGTTTCAGCGACTCCGGGACTTTCTCCTTGTACTGACGGTGCCGTCCTTGGAGGTAGTGAATCTCGCAGAGCTTCAGGTTGTCCATGACTCTCCGCTTGCACCGCCATTGCCGTCCGTCCGTCCGGTTACACCGCAGATGGTCCGGCAACGCTTCGTCTTCGTCCATCGAAGTCTTCCAGAAAAGCAAGAAAAGGAAAAATTACTCGACTTTCCGGGAAAAGATGACAAGTTTTTCTCGGGAAACAAACGGGGGAGGGCAGAGGAAGCGTTGAAAGGGTTTCCAGTCTCAGTATTAATTGGGAGAAAAGAAACAGTGGGGAAGCGAGAGAAAAGATGGCACATTCCGTAATTATAATGGGAAAACGTGTCCAATTTGGTCCCCAAAATCCTTAAGATGATCACGAGCGGAGATCAGGAATCAGGTCTATGATCAAAGCAGTATTTCTAGCAGTTTTTATTTTGCACAAACCGTTTTGAAATTTGTGAGATTTTTTTCCACTTTGACAGAACAATGATATAGTAGCGTTTGATAGTCAGTTCACTCTTTTCAAGCACATTTTTAATTATATATGTAAATTTATTTGGATAACGGTTTTGGATTGGTGAATTTCTAATAATAATAATTATATTTTTTTTAAAAAATCCCCTATTGTTTTGGAGCATTGGCATCAGCGTTTGATATTGGAGTTTTGATCTGGTATGGGCAGAAATTATAATGATATGCCATTGATGTGATATTCCCAATCTTAAATGATTTGATTTATGTGGGCTTTTTCCTATGCAGGTGATTCTACTGCTAAAACATTTTCTTGTTATGTCAAAGTGGATTGTTTCTGTTGATTATTTTTGTTCCCCTGTTTTGCATCGTCCTAAAACATAGGAATCAAGGATATTAAAGAAAAGAATACTATTTGCTTAAACTGCCAAAAAAAAAAAAAGTGGTAAAATGAGAAATGGAAACAAAAACAATTTTCCTTCATTTAGTACTATCATTATCCACGGAAGCAATAAAGCACTGTCATACACCAGATTGAGGACAATGATGTGTGGATATGTGTACATATATACATATATATACATATATATACACACACACACACACACACACACACACCACATGCTGATGAATTGTCTGCATAAATCCTGGTCCACAGGATGATATATATTGTAATTAAATGATGGATCTTGAGAGTTCTGAGACATGAGAAAATTTTGGTTTAAAGCTGAAATGGTGTAATTGTGCAGAACTTGTGTGAAACTTTGCGACAGTAGCACTTATAGAGCAACTCATGAGACTTAATTTTTAATTTTTTTAAGCCAAGGCTCAACTGAAATTTACACTGGAGAAATTTTGTGGGGGCTTATATTAATCTTACTTTTGCAATGCTGCATTATTTACTTGCCTTTTTACTTTGGTCCTGAAAAGTGATCTCCTTTTATGGTAACCATAATCAAGCTGGTCTAGTATAATGGACTACCCTTTTTTTCCTTGAAAACCCCATTATTCTTTAACCATCATGACAATTGATTTATATAAATAAGAGAGTTTCCTTGCATAAGTATTATCTAATTTGTAGAAGTTACTATCTAGCTAGCTGCTTTCTGTAGATATCTCTGATTTGTACGTAGCGTACGTTTAGCAGTTTGACTAGCTATTACTACTGCTATTGCAAAATGATCAACTAAAACATATTTTTAAGTCTCATTCATTTAATTAATTTAAGTTTTTAATTTAATTTTTGTTACAGTTAAAAATTTTTACAAAAAATTATATCTAATTTTTTTTACTACAATAAAAAATTATCACATATAATTACATCTCAACTCAAATTGAAAATTTAAATCTACGAATTAAACGAGCCTTTTTACTCATCTTTAAAGGTACGTGCACAAATAAAGAAAAAAAATGTTAATTACTGAACGTAAAAAGTGCAGACCAATAGCATCGCTTGGAGAGTTTTTCGCCCTGAAATAAACACATGATGCTTTGAACTTTGAAGGCATTGTGATGATGACTTGTGGACAAACTCTTGATTTGAATAATATATTAATATTGCCGTACTATATTAGCAATAATATACGTACAGCTATCCGGTTGCTTTCCTATCATAGACCTAATGCGATATATATTTGACCTTATCATATATCATGCAAAAATTTACACCATCCTTTAAATGTTAGTACATTTACACACACACACACATAATAATAAAATTATTACCGAGACATTGCCAAGGAAAAAACATAAAAGCACCTACCTAGGATTGAATAACTTATTTTTTTTTTTTTTTTTAAGGATGATTGAATAACTAGTTACATAACAGAAAATATTACATATATACAAGAATTTTGAAGAATATCTACTAATCATAATTTATCTTCTGCGGAAAATGATCTTACCCTCTGCATCTTCAACTAGAAACGTCAAGACTTCATCAGGAGGGTTATCCCACCATACTTGAGGCTTGTCTAACTGATGTCCCAATTTGGCTAATTTGTCAGCACTTCTATTAGCTTCTCTATAAACATGAGAAACAATGCAGCCGTTGAACTCTGGAATAATGGAGTTTATGTGACTGACATGCTTTTGAACTTGGGCACATTTAACCTTCCTCCTTTGCACAATAATCTCCACCAATGTCTTGGCATCTCCTTCAAGCCACACATATTGATCGCCCCAACCGTTCTCCAGAGCCAACTCAAGGCCTCGTCGAAGCGCGGCGAGTTCCGCGATGGTGCTGCTAGCCCTTCCTATGGATTCGGCATATCCGAGTAAGAATTCGGCCTTGTGGTTCCTCAACACCCCACCAATGCTTGCTTTTCCTGCTCTGCCTTTGGAGGATCCGTCGAAGTTCAGTTTTGTCCACCCGATTCCGGGCTTTTCCCATGCCACCGGGACAGGTTCCTTGTGATAATTATTTCTGAGCACAAAATGTTGATGAACTTGGGTTTGTGATAATATTTTTGTGGTTTGTACTCTTTGGCACCTCCAAAGATTTCCAAAGGCTAACATCATTTAATTAGTTTGTAACACACAATTTACAAGAACAATTATTGTTTTACAACAAACAATTATACAAGACATAAAAAGCTAATGCATACGTGTATATATATATAAGAACAATACTTAATTATATGTATGAAATGCAAAATGAGAATATACATTCAAGGACAAGGTTAGACATGCACATGCATGTTGAACAAAACAGAAGTTTAACGGGGGAAAAAAAAAAAAAAAAAAAAAAACAGCCTAATTTCTTATGTAAGATATTTGGTTTATGATAAACTATTGCTTCACGTAAGTATTTCCTAAAGATGAAGTTGAGTGGAGGGAAAGAAAACTAGAAAGATGTTTCTTCAAAAACTCTCAATATAATATATTTTGTATAGCATAGCATATTCTGTAAAGATGGGGGCATTTTTGAAAGGGCTTAATATTTAACTGCGTGAACTCTAAAATTTAAAAGAAGGCCAAAGCGTAGTAAGAATGAGTTTACGTTAACCGCTGAACTATAACTGTAAAGAAACCTCTTTTTGTCCAAGAAATTTAAGGTATCATATATTTGTCTTTCCGCATGGAAAAATTAGCTAGCCGTTTTTACATTTTTTTTTTAAATTTTTTTTTACTATAAATTAGGAGGATTGTTAGGCGCAGTCTTAGGTTTCATGGTAAGGGTTGATAAAGATTTTCTCCATTTACTAAAATGAATAGATGAAATATATTTTTCAAATCTGAAGTTGTTATAACTAACCCGCCAAAATTTAGATCTAGTGAAAATATCTTTTATGAGTACCTCATTTTTTTTTTTCTGATCAATTTTGAGTACCTCATTTAATAGAGATATCCCCATCCCAAAATTTAGATCATATATCTTTTCACTAAAAAAAAGTTTTTTATTTTTTATTTTTTATTTTTTTATTTTTTATTTTACTTAATAATCAATGAGTAGGAATCAATAGAAATGGAAAAATGCGCTAAAAAAAATACAAAGGGAAAATTCCTTGGGATAAACTTTAGACTTCCTTTATTCCTTTCAGTTGGATTTTTTTTTTTTTTTTTTTTTTTTTTTTTAGTGAAAAGCTTAGGAATTGAAAACTAGAAAAATTGCACAGTTACCATTAGATTCAAGCTTTTAGATTTAACTGTTCCCTCTACACAATTCAAAATATCCAAGTTTTAATATTTAATATTCCTCAAACCCTAAAACTTTTCCTTCAAAAGAAAAAAAAAAACCCTAAAACTTTAATTAGTCTTCCTGAAAAAAAAATTACATTTTAAAAAAAAATTACAAGTTCGGCCCGAAATGCTCCTTTTTTTTTTTTTTAGGATCTGAATTTAAGTCTGATGTACATGTTTCAAGAGTTGACCACAAAATAAATTGCGTGCATGGAATGATTGTATATACATATTGGATAGCTATATGAAGAAAACTCGTATAGGAATAGAATTGCTGACCATTGATGGATATAAATTATAAGATTATAGTGCAAAATACTGATGCGCGCTTTTGAAGTTAAGTATATTCTCTTTAGTCCTATCATTATAAAACGGCGTTAATAATATTTAAAAGAGGGATCTGAGATTTCAGAAGGTAATTTTACTGCAAAGAAATTTGATAACTTTTTATTGTGACGTGTTGAAAAATGTATAATCATGCTCAATAGGCTGATTATACATTCTCTATGTTCTTAATTTGTCCCAGGAGCGTAAATAAATATAAACGTGATCTTCTTCACAATTTCAGTTTTTACCCGAGTGTGGTTTTTCAATTATAGTCATGCGAGTACGTTTAATTGATTATAGATTTGTACTGAACAATGAACATAGGGATAAATTGTGATGTTATTTGCCCTCGTTCTTCATTCTGTTGTCCTTTTAGAAACGTTTTCGCCGTTCATTTTATACTGTTGTTTTAAAGCCATTATTGTCGTTTTTTTTCTCTTCGTTTTTCTTTTTGTCGTTTACGAAGGTTGTTGTCGTCGTTTATGTTATCACCGTTTATTACTTTTTCTCAGTTGCATTAACCTCTTTTTTTTTTTTCTTTTTTTTTTTGCTGTTGTTGTTACGTATTACTTTTCTGTCGTTTTTTCATTTTCGTTTGGTTGTTTTATTTATTTGCTTCTCACTTATTATCATGATTAGGGATGGTAACAGGGGCGAAGTGGAATTAGGATGGGTGGTCTTCTCTTCAATTCGTCACCATCCGTCTCGTGAATAAAAACACTCATTATACCTCATGTATCTGCATAAATTGATGGGTTACGGGTTGGATTTTCTGTCACGGGTTCGGAGTATTCGTAGTGCTCTATTTACCCGATTAATTATTTCCATTGTAAAATAAATAAATAAATAATTAAACAATATAAACATACAAAACATTAAGTCAAAAATAAAAAGAAAGATAGTTTTAAATTTTCATACATATCTTGTAATAGATTATACTTAAAATTATATATTATAGCATATTATACATAATATATCTAATTTAAAAATAAAATATAATTAAATGGGACGGGTAAACATAGAATAGGGTTGGAGACCTCTAAATCTGTCTCTGCCCCGCGATCCGCAACGGGTTAAAATTTTAACCCATTTATAATTCGAATCTGTTTAAAGTGGGTTTTTTCCCGCCCCGTTTAATGCGGGTCCTGTGGTTAAATGAGTTTGCGGTTTACCAAGGTTGTTGTCGTTTATGTTATTACCGTTTATTACTTTTTCTCAGTTTCATTAACCTTTTTTTTTTCTGTTGTTGTTATGTATTACTTTTCTGTCGTTTCTTCATTTTCTAGCAATTTAATTATTGTCGTTTCCGTCAGTAATCTTTGTATTACTTTGGTGCCGTTTTCTTGCCATTTCATTCTTGTCGTTTCTAATTTGTTGACCTTTACATCTTAGGAGCTATTTTTTAATTTGCAGTCATTACATAGTTTCGCCGTATTTGTTGGGGTTTAGGATTGTCGGTTTGTACGTTGTTGTCCTTTCACAATTTTGACGTTATAATCTATTTTCCAGTCGTTTTGTACATTGTTTGTGGCTTTTCAAGTTATCTCGTTTACTATTTTCTTGTCGTTTACTCACTAGTGCCATTGTTTTCTACATTTTTGTTTTCCTCTTTTATTTGGCAGTCGTTTCCTACATTGTTTGTCGCTTTTCACGTTATTGTCGCTTACTATCTTCTTGTCGTTTTCTAACAATTGTGTTTCAGTGCTGTTTCTTGTCGTTTACCCCTAATTGCCAGTGTTTTCTACATTTTTGTTTTCCTCTTTTATTTGGCAGTCGTTTACTACATTGTTTGTCGCTTTTCACGTTATTGTCGTTTACTATCTTCTTGTCGTTTTCTCACTATTGTTTTTCAGTGTTGTTTCTCAATTTGCGGTCACCTATTTCTCTTTTGTTTGTCGTTTATTTTCATACTGTCGTTTTTATTTTATAGTTCTTTATTATTGTGATTCTCTTTTTTTTTTTTTGGAAATATATTGAAACTTAAACATTACCTGACCAAATACCAAAAGAAAATAGAACTTTTGTTTGTTTGCTACATCAAAATAACACAATATTATAAGAAAAAGAAAGTGAGAGAGAGCAGAGAAGAAGGAGAAGCTATTAACCTTGTGTGGGATCTCCTACTTCAGTGAGATTGATCTGAAAAAATACTGATTTTTAAAAATTAATTTTTACAGAGAGTTTACTACAGCTCTTTCAGGAGAGCCAAACGTAAAGGAAAAATTAAACGAGTTAAGATAAGTATTCTAAATTGTGTCTATTATCAGACCTTAAATCCCTATATTAAGATGCCAACGGATCTACTTATTTAGATTTGTTGTATCAAGTTTTTTGTATTGAGTTTTCTGTAAGCTCATAGTTTGTTGATTAATGAAATGTTTTTTGCATTAAAAAAAATTTGCCAAAAAAAAAAAGCAGAAAATCCTCAGCTGAGAGCTAGCAGATAGGAAATAAAAATAATAATAAAGTGATAAAAATAAACGAAAAAGAAGCAAATAGAGTGAAAATTGTGCTAGCAAAAAGATATCTGCATCAGCGTGTTCATCTGCCTAAGAAGATTTTATAATTAAACACTTAAAAAGGATTCAATTTAAACTTCATAAAAAAACTGCACACCCAGTTAAGAATTCTAAAAAAAAATAAAAAACGGATAGAAACATACCATTTTCATACCCCCCAAAAAAAAAAAAAAAAAAAAAAAAAAAAAAAAAAAAAAAAAAAAAAAAAAAAAGAAGAGAAAAAGAAGAAGAGTATTTCCATCATACCATTTTCAGGATCTAGCTATTTCAGTGGTTGAACAAAAACGGCCAAAGGAAAATGGAGGAGCTGAAGCTCTCACAAAAATGTTAATATGGCAACAATGTCCCAAAAGGATAGAAACATAATTGAGTGCAGCGCTGACGAAAATTTCCCAAAGCCAAAGCCAACCATGAAGATTGGAAATCACTTCTAAATTGAACATTCATCAACGCTGCACTCAATGACGTTTCATTTATCTGGAACGTTTAGATCTCGATTTTTTTCTTCTTTTTCCGAAAAAAAAAAAAAAAAAAAAAAAAAAAGAATCAGTTCT